CAAATAGAGGTTAAACTGATTGTTGTTGTTTTTTTTCATATACAAAAACAAATCAATTGTTGAGTAGATTGAAAACAAGTTGAAGGTAAAGAATCAGTGGAGACTTCACCACATTGATGGCAGTTTACATTGGGGAATAGCATTGAACAGTAGATGACTCAACAAATGTCTTTTTTCATATTGAGCTTATGAAATTTTATCAGCGCTGGGTGTATGGAGTTCCTTTAATTATTATTAGTGTTTCCAAGCTCATTTCATAGTAGTTTCCGAATAGTCTTAGTGCAAACATTTACTTGATTTGAATTTCGCGCTAGTTAGTGTTTGTCATTAAAATCTATTTCAAAAAACAAGATTTCTGTGTAACCAAACTAGGCAAAATATCAAGTTGGGAAACCCTATATGATGTTTTATTGTTTCGTTATGAATATTGATCGGACTTCATCAGTTGTGTCTGCGATGATCCTCTTTGGTTCAGCGTTAATTTACTTTACATTGTGATTCAATTGCAATTATCTAAATACCTAAAAACCACCTAGTAATTCATAACTTTGTTATTTTTTCCCAAGGTTTTCTCACTCCAGAGCTCACCATAGAGACGATCCTTTGTTCTCATCAGAAATATGGACTCTACCTTCTGTTACTCTTTTACAGTTGTAGTATGTCAGTTCTTTACATGACTACCAAAGTCATTATAAATCGATCTATGTACAATATCTGTCTGTATAATTCATCCTCCTTTGGTTTCCAGTAGTACATTTTTCTAAGAAGGTTTGTCTATATAGTAGTAACATCTAGGAAGAGTGATTTTAGGTATTTGAGTCAGTGCCAGAAATTTCCATTGTATGGTGAAGTCATATCAAGTTGGAACTAAACAGCCATAAATCTCATACTTCATATGTAAATTTCTTAGCAAAAGATTCTAGTGTTTTATGAGTCGCAACACGATGACTACTGTTCTTAATGAATTTTTCATAAATAAACAACGTGTATGAATAAACATAGTTAAGATCGATGTGTATTTATGTGTTAGGAAGTAATAATTCAGAGATTGTGTAAAGGTAATAAAATTAGTAAGTGATTGAGTAATCACTCAACGTGATAACATAAAAAATATATGTAAACAATAAGATTATGCAAGGGATGAATATCAGGAGATGAAATAAAAACAAAGATAAAAAGTTGGGGACAGATTTGAAAAATGACTAAAATTAGGATTAATAAAGGTTATTAGATGAACCCCCAACCACCAATGAGGAGGACCGCTAACCTAATATTGCTTCTGTATACATAGGCCAGGTTGGGAACATATGACAGCAAATGCTTCTGTTAAACGGACTAATATTGATGTTTTTAGCAATTGTTTATTTTAAATGCTTTACTTACAATTACCTCATGTCCATTATTCAAAACGTGTATGGCAACTGTATTTGTAAAGACTTTTCACCCTTTCAACTGTAGGTTCCTAGGAATGTGTTCAGAAAATCTTGTAGAGGCTTTTTTCTCTGTCGTTCTCATATACTTGGCACCGCATAATTGTGACTGGAGGTGACATCGGAAGGGTACTGATTTACCTTGGAATGGTATAATAAACAATTGATGTTGTATAGTGAAACCGATTGAATAGCACAGAAGCTCCTTCTCGGTCCCGCACTGACTATCCTGTCTATTCTTCCTGAAATCTCATCTACCTTGAACGGAAAGTAGATGGGTCAGGTTTCCTTCCAATAGTTGGTTGTTTATTATTCTCTGAATATTTCTGGTTTTTTGTGAATTAAGTCTTATATCTAAGTTTTTGGGAATTTCCACGGACAATATATTTACGATATTTGTTAAGACTTGAACAACAGCAGAAAAGACGATGAAATAATCAATAATTGTAATGGATAAAATCAGTTTACCTCCCATTAACCAAGAAAATGTTTATTCGACATATGGTTTACTAAGGTCATATAATAACTGATAAAAAAATTTAAAATTATAAAGAAAATCATTCTTGCACGCTAAGTTTGCACTTGCACTATGTCTAGTCTTTATTAATTCATTTAGCTGTATATCCTTTATTTCAATATCTTTCAAACCTAACAAATTTGTTAATTAATCACTCGATCTGAATTCTTAGCTGCTTCTAATGATTCCAGACTAAATGTACACGGTAACTTAAACATAAGAGAAAGGGGGTATAATGCAAAGCCCAACGATTGGTGATAAGAACTCCCAAAATAAATGGAGAAACGACTGGTAAATAAGCCATTATTAACATGATTTACTTACAATTAGTTTAACAGTCAGATTTTTATAAAGTGAACCGAGTTGTATTTAGAAAATCTAATATGTGTTTTATCAAAAACATTGATACCTTTTTATCTTTGATGAGACAGGTTCACTTATTTGATTATCAGTCATATAAAGAAAAATAAACCCATCTGTTTATAGACAAAAAAGACAAACAAACAGCAGAAATATCTACGTAACTAACTAATTATAAGTATGCAGTTCTGGTAAAATATTCTCATCTCTTTATAGATCACTAGAACCTTTGAAAGTAAATTCTCGATTTTAAAATTAGAATATTTCAACCAATTCATTTAATAAACTATTTAGATCTTCTTGGATCTGTGTAGTCAACATTATATTCAATTACAATATTGTAGTGAATAAGAACACTAGTTGGGACAATCGAATGTATTTAGGCATAAATTACAAACTATCTTACTAAGATCTGATAACCACAAAGCAAAAAGTTTGGGAACATATCTTAATGATAAGTGTTATTCAGGAGGAAATATGGGTCCATGAATTCCTAGTGATCACTCTCAACCGCTAAACATTATTTTTGATAGTTTATTAGAGCTTATTTTCCTTAGTTACTTTAATGAGTTAATTTCACCATTTAATACAATTTAAGGGCTTGAAAATGAAAATTAGTTTTGATAATTCTATGAACAAGAGTGAATTGTGATTAGATTCTCCAATATAACAAAAAGAGAAAGAAAAATTACGAATTTTGATTTTTCTTTTTTAGGAAATTAAATTCGACTTATAAGCGATTTCAATAAAACTAATTGACAATTAATTTACTCTAAGCTACTTATTTATTCCACTTGTAGTGAGACATTTTATAAAAATAAGTGATCTTATCACTTACCTTAAACCATTGAAGTGTTTAACTATTTGATTGATTGACAAAGTTTATAACAGTTTTCAAAACAATGGTTGTCATCTGCAAAACACTTTAGATAACAAATAGTCAAGTATGAAAATTTCATATAAAGCTCCTAGATATTTAGACAATTGAGGTAAACCGTCAGTAAGGAGAAAATTTGAGATTCATAAGCAGCCTAATTATAATTCCTCGACAAAAAAGTAGTTAACTCCTAACAAAATTAACAGTTAGCCTAGATTTTTTAGATGTTCAGAGACCCATCAATTTGATTTATTCGCATCACAATTAATATTGATGATTTCGGTCTAATTATTATTCATTTTGAGACAAGTTGAAGTGCGCTTTTTAATCATTCTCATCAGAGCTCTAAAAACAAGTAATTCAGTGGTAGGGATATTATTTCAATAAATAAACTATACAATCATATATTTGTGAGAGTTTATAGCTCCATAACATAAAGAAACATAAACCATTAAATAGCTTGATTACATTAATGATAACAACACAATGCTGTGTAACTTCTGTAGGGCAAGGTGGAATAAAGAACTGGTGCAAAAAACTAATAAACTAACATTACATCACAGTGTGTACGAAGTAAGATAATTAATTAAAATGTGTTTGTGAGAAACTAAATGAATTAATTTGGGAAATGTTGAAATCAAGGGTATATGAGGTAGACATTTTCATGTGCATAACTTATGGAGTAAAAGTAAAATAATAGGCTGACTATGGAAAGCCTAAAGAAAAGATGGATATATTTTAATCACAAAGTTTATACTTCACCAAGTCGATATCTAATAAACATAGTTAAGTATTCAGGAATAAAATGTGTAAAAACTTTACTCCTAGCCCTGTAGGAAACAAACTAAGATATTTTCTCATATTCAAACTGAAAGCCAACTTTGGCTACGGGATACGTGTCTTGTAGATAAATGTACATATTTACAACCAGTGAAGGGATAGGTTATTCATTACAGATACAGAAATACTGTTTTTATCTCATTCAAAAGGTGTCCTCATATTTGTTCCAGACAAATATTTTTTTAAATCATAACAGAAATTCAGTTACTCTTCAAATTCCAAATTCCTATAAAGGTGGATAGTGACTAACAATAGAATCCCGGAGGTGCGTTTTATCCTATTTAGGACTCTTCAGCTGGAAGTATCTGATTGTAAATTAAGGCAATACCGAGGCAATCTTCACAGTATACACATATTTGAATAAGAGATTGATCAATTGCAGTGCTAAACATCAGTTGGAAGGTATTTCTTAAAGAATGATTTCACCGCTACTGATGATTAACACTTACTTGCTTACACCTGTTACTCCCAATGGAGCATAGGCCGCCGACCAGCATTCTTCAACCCACTCTGTCCTGGGCCTTCTTTTCTAGTTCTGTCCAGCTTTTGTTCATTCTTCTCACGTCTGTCTCCATTTCTCGGCGAAATGTGTTCTTTGGTCTTCCTCTTCTCCTGTGGCCTTCAGGATTTCATGTGAGGGCTTGTCTTGTGACTCAGTTCGATGATTTCCTTAAAGTGTGTGATTAGCACATTAGTATTGAAATATCAATACTGTTCAATAAAAATCTTCACAAAAAAGAAAAACTAATTCTAATAACCTAGAACTCACCAAAATAATTTATAAATTTAAACAAAAAAACAAAATAAAATTGTCATTAAGAAACCGATTATATAAAAATTTATTTATATTTCATTGAATATATGTATAATTATAATTTTTTTTATTTTTTTGTTTATTTTCAATTATTCAATGACTGAATTTTTGTTTATGTAAATTTTTTTTCTAAAAAATGAATTTCATCATTGATGCTTTTAGTGAAAGTAAGTTGATTGTTTATTTTAATGGTTTATTCTGTTTTAGAATGTTTAAATGTTGTGCAATATCGTGTTTTACACCTATAAATATATGTTGTATGTAAGTATATATATATATATGTGTGTATGTGTGTGTGTGTTTTATCAATAAATATATTTAATAATAATATTAGTTAGTAATAAATTATTATTTTGATAGCTGAGTTTATTCTTTACCCCCCCCCCAACCTGCACGTTTTATTTACCTTACAAGCAAATTCACTTGATGAATTGTTATCGAACTTGTAATTTTTATTGATTTATGCCAATATTATTAGAATTAGTATCACTTAATGTTCATATTTCGTGCTAGGTAAATCGTAAAAATTATTCATTCATATATGACTATGTAAACAAACAAGTAATGGATTTTATTTAATCAATTGTTGAATAATTATTGCCGAGTTTTGATCGGATAATAATAATGACAATTCTAAGACATCTAAACAAAATATATACAAATTTTATAAGAGATGAAACTATTTCTATGTTAGTGTCAGTATGGGGTTGTGAAGATTGATAATTTTTTGATTGAGATCATGAATCGTTTGATGTTAGACCACCATTTAAAACTTGAAAGCACTAAACGGCCTTTTCATTCTGTTATGGAACTCCTCAGTAGTGCGTATCCATGATCTCGCTCAAACCCAGAACCGTCGGTCTCGCGCGCGAACTCTCAACCTCTAGACCACTGAGCCAGTATCTAATGGTGTTAATGTCTAACTTCAACGAATCCACGGAATTATTATTATATAAACAGCTTATCTTCAAGTCGAAAAGGTTGAAGAAAAGGGGAGCCTATTATTATCACTATGTTAACAAAATATACAGGCAATCCTGCTCATCGGTTGACCGAAATATTAATACTGCTCTTACGTTACGCAATATATTCTTCCAAGTAGTGAAAGATAAATACAACGCAGTGTTATATTTTTTTGAATATCACGGTAGAAGACTAAACTTTCACGGTCATTCTCCCAGATTCTATAAGATATAATAATGATTATAATACGTTCCGATAAGATGTAAGATGGTGGTTAGAGGTAATCGACAAGAAACCCTGGACTCAGGGTTTCATGCTATTTGTCACTCAACAACAATGTGTGCCTGTAATATTTAAGGGACTGATACACCCTGACGGACTTCAATTCTGTGTCATTCAGCCTCGCATTCAGAGATGTTGCCATTCAGCTAACTCCAACCATCACCTTACATCTCAACATAGTACGTGGAACGACGAATCTCCTAGACTAGTAGCCACATCGCTACTTGATTGATATGATTCTATATATATATATATATATATATATATATATATATATATATATATATATATATAATTTGTATATGAGTCTTACCAGTAAAGTACATTGCATTCCTTGGACAGTGTATAAATGATTACCGACTAGAATCCACCTTGTATGTGAGATATTTGTTATAATTTTAAGAACCAATAGCTACCAATAATCTTTACTGAAAAGAGCTAAGTAAAAGTCACTGATCAAAACTGATTAGTTCTTGATGTAAACCATCTTCAAAATGAAAATTTCCATGTACCTCTCATGCTCAGAATCCAATTTCTTCTTTATATAAAATATTTCTAATACGTTACTTGTCATTTAGACATTTATATAATTCTAACTTGTGCAAAGCTGGGTAAATTTTTTATATATGTAATTTTCTTTACATGATTTTAGTGAGATTTGTTTTATTTCTTTTTAAAACAGTTTTCATGAGAATACTTGATAATGTGTAAACTAATGTATTGTATGTACGTTACTTAGCATGGTACTGTATATTTTCCCGGTTTCTCATATTGTAGTAAACAGTTTAAAAAGTATTTTAGAATAGTTCGATATTGGTTTGGTTAAATTTAATAAGTGAAGAATATTTATACGACCTCAAAACTTCCTGTTATTTATAGACAATGTCATTGTTTAATGAATAAAATTAATCGTCATCAGTAAAAGCCACTCACTGAGATATTCACGATGTACAGACCGTAATACCTTCATCAGTACTATTTTTCAAGTTCTTATAATTCATTATAGATGACATTTTTTTGAATTTGTGGATAAATGTAGAGATCAAACAGCTATTCGAACTATGTAAACTGTACATTTGTTGAAGTATAGTGAAAATTATGAAGTACAGTTTAAAACAAGTACATTTAGTATGAGGAAATTCAAGCAATGGATACGAATTCTTCTATTAGTTCATTTCACATCATCTTCCGCCATTTATATAATAAAGAAAACTCTTATTTGAAAATAATATCCATCTCAGACTGACATCACATTATCAAAAAAAGGAATATAAAATGATGTTCTATTTCATTATGACATTTCTCAGCAGTAGATACACATTGTCTGAACCAAATATTTTGAATATATGGATTCTGACTAAGGATATAAACAAAGTGGTACTTTGAAAATCAATGAACGTATCCGATTATTTAAAAACTTAAAATATATTATTATTAGACTTTGAATTATTTTTTGGGATTATTTGACAGAGTAATCCAGTTTCTTTTATTGTTTAGAAATAATCTTCACTATAACTTTGGTATTTAAAAAGCTTACATACTTCTTCTAACGTCTTTATGGTAGATTAGTTAAAACAAGATAGATAGGTTTAGAATGATTTTTTTTCTAAATTAGGAGCCGAAAACCAAATATTCTAAATTTATAGAAAGTCAAGAGGTGTTAGATAAAAACATGGCGGAGACTCATGTTGTAAATACTTTTGTTTAAACACATCGATACTAATAAAAAAATGTATTTTTCATATAAGTATGGATAACTAGTCTGTTGTTATAAGGCAAGAATAACGAAAAAAATTATAATAAATCTCAGAGTTGAATTTAAAAAATCATTGTCATGATTTATTGGAATGAATAAGAATCAAAAGGCTAGGCGGGATATAACTGATACGTCATTAGAGTACTGGAACAGCCATGTAAAATTCACCTATATATTTGTGTTGTCAAATACATTTTTATAGTGTTATATTACAACCATTTTTTAATTCGTTTCTTTAAGGATAACTTATAACGATTATTTCTTTTTTACATTGATTTTATTTAAAGCTGAAACATTAAAAGATCTATGCCAGCACCGAAACAAGCCTTCTTCTTCTTGTGACAACCAAACAGATCTTGATCATTCAGAGTTTGAAGAGGAAGATTCTACAGTATCAGGAATTTCCCATTCACATATCACATCGGAGAATTTCGCAACACCAGATGATACACAAAAGTTTCAGCTTATACATACATCGCCATCAGAATTGAATCCTTCTATCTCAGCTCCGTCGCAAAAATATAATAGTATACCTGTCTTACAGAGTCCCTTGGATGTAAGCATTAGTCAGATTGACGGAACGAATGAAGGAGTTACACGAGGACCATTACCTCCCCCTCCTCCAGATCTATATTCATATATTGATACATTTGATGATATCTACTTGACAGAAACAAATAATCAAGGAAACTATCCATGGTCTCACAAGGTGTATAATAATGCTCCGAAAACCGAATCAATGAATAACTTTCCGAATCATGTTCAACAGCCATCAAATGATAAACAACAGAATGATGTGAATACCGTTTGGCCTGAATCATGGATGTCACCAATGAAGCATGAAAAAAAAGCTACGAAACAAAATATTATTTCAAAACAAAAAGTGTAATTTGCACATTTATTTTCATCTCTTACTCTTATCCTCTCTTCAGATATTAATAAAGTATGATGTACTTTGATAATATCTCGTTTTTTTTTCATATTATAAAACAACACTACAATTTTGTAATTTAACCATGAATTTACTCTAAACAAAAACTTTTTTGTGTGAAAAACAAATTATGCAGCATTCATTTATACAGTGTTCACATGAAAAATTGATTTTAAATTTTAAAACAGCACTTTTTGTATAGATTGAATAATTTAAACAACTATTTACAGTATGATTTACTAAACTTTATTTTTCTCTATTTTATATGCATAATAAATTTTAATTTTTTATATCTTTTAGAATGAGTTGATTCTTCTGAAAATGAGTTTAACTACAAGTTGAATAACCTTCTGATAGAAAGTTATTAACCTATTTTACCACCAAGTGGATAAAAATTGAAGTTAGACATTAACACCGTTGGATACCGGCTCAGTGATCTAGGTCCTGGGTTCGAATCTTGCGAGGCGGCATCGTAGATGCGCACTGCTGAGGAGCCCCACAATAGGACGAAACGGTCATCCAATACTTCCAGGTTTTCCATAGTGGTCTAGCTTCAATTGACTCGTAATCTCAACTATATAAAAGTAGATAATAGCTAAAATCTCATTGATGTTCAGGTACCTACATTATTGATTACAGATTGAAACTAGAATATATTTTATATATTTAGATAAGTTTTTGCTTTGATAAAATAAAGACAAGAAGAAAAATATATAGTATTTCTTAAAGTAAAGGATACAATGCGTTTTCGCTTAAGTTAATTATCTAAATAAACACTTCAAATTGGAATTCACAATTAGTAAATTTTGAAATGAATTCAGTTGAATTACATTCATAGGTGAAGATTTAATGTGAATTTTATAACCGCCATGCAGTAATTTATTGAAGGAAGATATTTACGGAATATTAGAAATATTTGAATGGCAAGTAAACAGAGTAATTGTGTCTATCATTAAGTTGAAACGAAGATTGGGAATGATAATCATGAAATCGGAATAGAAATAATCTCTGTAATAATTGTAGAGTAAATTAAAATCACTTTTATAAACGCAACAGTAAAGAATGGAAAAGAAAGGAAATAATTTAAGTAGATGCAATGAAGCTATGAACTAAGGCCATGGTGAAAGGAAGAATCTTAAAATTTGTTTTGGTACCCATAAATCAGGCTCGAAATTGTACCAAACAAAGCTTCTACAATATAAATTAGATTAAGACGTACATCTCCTAGCATCTTTAGCTAAATTCTGTAGTCGATATTCAAAGATGAATTCGAGGCTAAACGTTATGACTATATAACATGTAGTGAAATTGGAAACGTAACTGACTAATATCCATCTGTATACGACGAAAAAGCAACCTCAATGGACTTAAGTTATTAAGTTTGTTTCACATTCAACGCTACTGATTCGGAAGTAATTATCGTAAGCGTATTAAAAAGTTACTATGGTCCTATTTGATAATAACTAGACGTTTACTTGATGCAGCAAATTATAATTTCTGGAATTGTTGAGATATTTCTACTCGTGACGATCGTGTTTGTTTGAAATCAGATTTAAACCAGCTATCTGGTTTGTTCTTTTATTTTGGATAGCTGGAACAATACGTGATACAACGTAGTAAACTTGTCCATTCTTATCATAAATAGTTTCATTGTACTGACACAAAATATATAAGACGATAAATGTTTTTACCTTGCTAGAAGTTTTATTAGTGATTCTACCGTATAGTTTGGTTCTACTTACAGCAATAACAACATTTATTGAATACATAGAGACAGAACTCTGATTATTGTCATACATTTAAATCAATGTAACAGTTTATTAAATCATCAGTTTAACAAATTGGTGATCTTGTACATGTTCATAATAAGCAAAGATGGATAGTGGCTGGCAATGTAATCCAGGACGTGTGTTTCGTCCTATTTAGAACTCGTCGGCTGAATGAACCTGCATCCCAGAGTTGTTGTTCACTCTGGGACTCGAATGAAACATACGACTTTAGTTGAACATTTATGAAGAGTTTCAAACTAGGTAGTTATGTAGTTATAAACAATTTCTTAAATGTGAATAGGAATTAACAAGATACACAGCAAAGGAAAGAGAATAATGATGCTAAGTTGAACAATAAGAAATATAATTCAAAAAGGAATATATGGAGTTAAAAACAACAATTATAGAATAACAAACTAACTGTATAGTGAGGAAAGGGATAGAACTATACTAAAGTTACCTATTCAAGGAATATGAAACTACTACTTAGTGTTTTTGCATATAAAGTCAATTTTCATTGAAACAAAAATTACCTTGAAATTCTATCGAATTTCCATAAAACCAAAAACGTTATGGGTATTAAAAAAAAGTATAGACGTATACTTTGGTATTTACGTCAAAATAATGATTTCCTTTTAACCATTCACAAACAACTTTAAAAAATGAATAGAGTATGATTTCGAATAGGTTTTGAAGCATAATATATATGTGAACGAAATTGTTTTTTAATTAGATCCTTATCAGGATTTGCTCTAATATACAAATAAATTTAACCAATCAAATTGATTTCACATTTTCATGTAGTTTTCAACTTCAAACTTGACATATTTTATAAATAAGGTCCGTAGTCAAATGGTTTACTGAAAAACGAAACGAATGAGAAATATTTAACAGAAATGATGAGAAAAAAATGTGTTTTCACGTTTGTTTAGCTAAAAAAAAATTAAAATATATTCTAATTGTCTTAAATTTAGAGCATTCATCTGTCATAGGTTTGAACGAATCAGCCTACAGGTTTCATCACCAATCTATTTGACTAAACTATGACATTTTAAGTTACAAGCTGATCTTAGTTAGACTGACATTGAAAATCAGAGAACAATGGACAGCCATTTCATCCTAGTATCTGACTCAGTAGTGCACACTCATAACCCCACTGTATTGGGTTGAACATAAGAACTTTGGTTTTGTGCATGTATCCTCAACCTATAGATCACTGTGATTCCATCCACTGGGATTCTTGTTTGTGACTAAAATTAAGAAAAGTTCACAGTTTTACCATACCTTCTTATACTATGATACTCCGCTCACCAGTGATTTCCTTCATAACGTTCATGAAATCCTTGTATAAATTTGTGAATCAGAAATGTTGACGGTGAAACATTGCCACTAATACCATCGGAAGACTGTTATGCTATATCATATAAAACCGTTTAAATTCACCTTAATTAGATTATAATCCTGGTATAACTAATTTAAATGGCTTAGTAGTAAATTAATTTTCATTAACTGATTTTAAAGTCAATTATAGTGGCTTATCATCTGTTTGTACATAGGCGTAATTTCAAAGTGAATTTTGATTTTACGACTACTCTTTTTAATCATTCATCAAGTATAAGCAACAAATTTAATGATCAATTAATAGAATGACTTTTAGGAGAGAGGGTTTTTTTCGCAACAATAAAATTGTAGATAGCATAAGATTGTGTGATGAGCCTCAAGAAACCATGTCAGTTGTAAATCGTGTGTTATAATTAATTATGACTGATAAAGTACCTCGATATGTGCAAAAATTTGTAACTGGTGGGATGTATGAACATATATTTAAAATAATGTCAGTTTGAGATAAAAACTGCTAACACAATTCATTTTGGTTCTTACTATCATGTTCTCAGACAAAAAATTAAACAGTATTGTGAATAGATCTATAGATTTAAACAAATATGAAAAAGGTTAATAGTCTTGTTATGTTTTAAGAAATAAGTTAATGCAATTCGGTCCACAAAATCAGTCACCTATTGATTCATCATAATTTATCGACGTAAATTTAGTAAATATAAAAGTAACCTTTTAAATAAATGGTAAATTTTATCATAGTATCATTAGAATCAAATCTGTTCTTTCCATTGTATATGTACATTCATTGGTTATGAATACCATTCCAGACACAAGCAACCGACATTTCGAAGTGTCTAAAATTACCCAAAATGAATCTCAATGTTATTAAACTGTATTTAAGTTGCATTTCCAGTAAACAAAATAAAAAATGGTGATTCTTGTTCTTCTAGCTTCATACAACTTTGTTTTTATTCTACGCTAAATTTGTTCCATTCTAATTACATTTTTTAACAAACTATTCAACCATGTAACAATTTGAATCAGTTTTCTACTAGCTTAGTCAATTAATAGAGTTTTACATAATAAAGCTCTAATGCTTATTGCCTTGAATTGTATTCTCAAATTTATATATGCTTCATTGAATGCATAATATATTGTTTGTATAATTAAACAAGATTATAAAATTGTTTAGTAGAGTTTCACATAACATTTAAACTAGTAAATGATGAACTTGGAACTTATTAGGAATAACAGTTTGAATGTTGATGTATTTATCTATCTAAACTTAACTATGAAGTGACATTATATACCTCACTTTTCATCTGGTATTATGGCATAATATCAGACTTGTCTAATTAAATGAAGACTATATTTGTGTTTCATTCATAAAATTAAATCTGTTTCAGCAAATTATTTATCAATTAAGTAAAAGTGAACAGATTGGATAATTGAAATACCTTAATGTTCTAGAAGAACCAATTGACTTTATCATAATAACAGTCTTTATAATTACATTACAGTTCATGTAGAAAAAAGTTTTAGTGACTTAACACTTAATAAGCCTGTTGAACAATTGAACTACCAACGATGAACAGTCCTCATTAAAATGTCTTACAATCTTGATGAGTTGATTTTCAATATCTATGATATGAAATATGTTTCACAGATTTAGCTTCGGCAAATTTTTTTTTTAAATAGAGGGGTGATTCGAAATTATTTGAAGGGCTTCGGCTCGAGACTGGTAGGTCCTGGGTTCGAATCTCGTGAGAGCGGGTTCGTGGATGCGCACTGATGAGGAGTCCCATAATAGGACGAAACGGTCGTCCAGTGTTTCCAGGTTTTCCATGGTGGTCTAGCTTCAATTGACTCACGCTTTCAACTATGATAAATACTAAATCTCCACAAAACCCCTTCTGATAATTATGGGATTCACATTGAACTTTTAGACTTTTTTAAAGTGTGAATTTCCCTCTGAATACATATTCATTCCTATGAAGTTTAGAATTCTCGGTCTAGTGTCGGCTATTTTCTGATCATCGGTCAACAAACTAATCGGAGCTTTCTTCTACAAAATAAAAATAATATCTACTATATCATGGAGTTGTTGTTTAAAATATACTACCTTCTAAAAAATAATACGATCAATACAATCTCATTATTATAAATTTTCTTCTATTTATCGTAACTAATGA